TCGGTCCCTGACGACAGGATGCTGTCTCATTAAACAGGGCCATGAAATGATGAGCTCCCAAAACAAAAACCCAGAACAGGTTTTCTCTCCTCGCTGTTGTTTTTCAACAGACACTGAAACAAAAACTTTGACATCGGTTTCCATCTCAGTTTTGTGGAAGTTACGCTGCAGTTAACGTGTTGTTTGCGCTGCTGATTTGCGTCTTTCACGCCCAGCTTTTTACAGCCCGTCACCTGACGCACTTTAAAACAACAGCTTGTTTTCCCTCCATCATCTTCACACCTACTGTAAAAACAGCACATCTGCACCTGCAACTCGGAATCTTAACGACGCTATAGGGTCCAAAAAAATAAGCGACGGAACCTCAAACCGCCTCCAGACCAATCTGAAGAATTTAATTAAAGCGACTTCAGAGAATTACTGAAGTCTCACAGCAATTATGAAAAGAAGGGAAGTGCTGAACAAGAGAGGAACCAGAGAAACAGAACACATCTATAAGATCCGTCTATAATGTCACATCTGTTTCACAGCTCGGTCCGAGCTCTGTGAGATCAAGAGAGAGAGAGAGAGAGAAAAAAAACAGAAATCTGAAAACTCTGCAGACTTTGAACGTGGGTTCTTTTTCCTCGATGCACAGGAAGCAGACGTGAGAATGAGAAATATTCAGGAAAAGCCTTCTCAGATGACTCTGCAGATATGAGGGTTTAGCTAGACTTTGAAAAGACTGCGTTCAGACCGAGACGGCGTCAGCTACAGTTTCAGTTTTCACAAAACTTCACAATGATAGAAAGAGATCTGGAGCCGGAGATAAAAATATAAAAACAGGAGGGCGTTGAATTAATGAACGCCTGCTGCCACACGTCCAGGACTGATAAGAGTGAACATGTCTCTGGACCTGTTTTACTGTAGTACCCCCAAAAAACAGGTTTGAACAGAGCAAACGGCAGCGGCAGGATCTGTTAGGGATTTTTATAATGACTTTACATTTAAAAATACACAATAGTAGGAAATCTAGGCCTGAAACCATCTTCGAAACATTAAGGAAGGTGAAAGTGTCGTAGTAGTAACGTCAGTAGTTTGTGATGAACTTTGGGAGAGAGAATGTTTTGACTCCCAGGCCACAATGGGAATTGTGAAATTTTACCATCTGAAAACCCCCAGTGGTGATTAGTTGATAATACTTTACGTTAATCTAGATCCGATTTGGCAAACTATGGCCCGAGGGCCAGATACGGACAGTTTGGCATTTTATCCGGCCCGCCAAACTTGTCTAAATTCAGTTATTAATTTAAATTATCATTACACTTCCGGCCCACGAGTCAGAGTCCAGAATCAAGCTGCAAAGATCACATGACATTAGAAAAACAAAAAAAAAAAAAACCAAGAATAGCTTATTAGCATAGCACAGACCGTCAGTCCACATCTGTCCAGAACTCAAATCACCATTTACTGTTAGTGCTTTACCAAATGACTGATGTTATTTCTGGCAAGAGCTGGAGTTAATACTGAGGGAACAAATTTAAACATCAAAACATGAACAATTTTACACTTCCGGCCCACGAGTCAGAGTCCAGAAATTTAAACATCAAAACATGAACAATTTTCTCCAAAAGTCCTAGTATTTATTATTATTATTATTTATGAACGCGTTCATATTAGCAGTCGCAGTAATGTGGAAATCGCTGCGTTGCATCACTGTAACCTGACGTGGACGACTTCTCTAAATGTTTTTTGTTTTTTTTTCCTCTTCCTGTTTACATTCCAGGCTCACCTCCTTGTCAGACTCACAGTCAACCTCCGGCAACAAAGAACAAATGAAGATCAGTTTTTGTTTTGACCAAACAGAAGCTAAAGGTCAGGAAGAAGAGTAAATGTGAGCCGCGGCGCCGCTCTTCAAAGTCTACAAATGAAGCAGATGCTAAAGGCAGCCTGTTCCACAGTCCAACACTCACACAGACACACAATCTCAGGGCACAACTGCAGTAAAAAGTTCATTAGGATATTCACGAATCCTCCTCACAACAACAACTTCATAAAATCTCACAGTAAAAGACAGAGTTTTTTTCTTTCTTTTTTTTTAAAGTATTGCTTCAAGCACAAGACTCTGTTTGACTTTGCCTCAGGCTGAAGACCAAACACTTATACACCTGCTTTTCAAGGTGTAAGAACAGCATGACATTCTTCTATTCTTATTTAAATCCCTGCTGAAAATCCTTTAAGAGGAAGTGCTTCAAGAAAAAAACACAAAAACAAAGAAAAAAAAAAAAAAAAAAAAAAAAACGGGAGCTGCCCAGTAAAACTAACAAACCAGTATTGACTTATTGGCCAAATGACAGCAATTTACCACGCTGTGCTATTTATCTTGCAAACAATTTTATTTACTCTAATTGTACCGCCTTATTTTGTTGTGGTTTTTTTTTAAGCCTCTTGTTTTGCATTTTTGATCTGAACTCATTTCAGCTTCAAACACATAAATGACTTCAACTGCTGGGCTGCTCCCCTGTGCTCCAACTGTTCATTAGCAGAAAAAAAAAAAAACTCAAGTGCTTCAGGAAGTCAGGCGGCAATTCTGAACTTTGCTGGAGTTGTTTTTCACTGCTTTTTTTTTTTTTTACATAAAAAAACAACTTTGAAATGACACAGTTATGAAGACAGTTATAGCATGCTTAAAAAAACCAAAGACAATCCAAGACTGAATTTAGTATTTAGAGCTAAACAGGTGCAAAGATTTGAGCTGAGAATCCATGTCAACACAACAGTAAAAGTACCCACCACTACACACCTGTACTACGGTCCTTAAATAGTAACAGACATGACGTCAGGTCTCCCTACTCCCAGTTGCAAGAATAGATTAAATCAGAAAACCTTTTGTATTTACCTTTCTTTTTTTTCTCTCCTGGGTGTGCGTGCGTATGTGTGTGTGATTTTTCTTTACTCCTCTGCCATGCAACGTTCAGAGCAGGACAGGAGCAGGAGGTGTGCAGCACCAGGTCCGGGCCGTTGTAGTCCAGGTGGGATCTGCTCACTCCCAGGTGACACCAACAATCTCTGTCATTAACAGTGAGAAGAATCAGGTGAGTCTGGGCTGAACCCAGGGATGGGACAAATGTAGGCAGACTCACCAGTCGCGTCGTTGTACTCGGTGGACACGCCCACACGGCCAGTAACAGGAGTGTTGTGTAACTGGCAACCTTTTATGCGAGTTTTCAAGGGGATTGATTGGGTTACACTTGTTATTATGTCCCCTCCTTATTCTGTTGTCCCGTGGTAGATGGACCTGTCCACGGGGTAAAAAGATCACCTGTGTTTACAATCACTCTGACAAAACCTGAACGCCTCAGGTTACAAGATGATATTAAAATAAGAAAAAAAAAAGAAAGAAACAAAATCTGGCAACCAGTTCCTAGGCTCATATTCAGTCTATCTGACTCTGAAGGCTCAGACCGCCTGGAGATATTACAGTAATGTGGCAGATCTGAAAATACAATATGGCACCACATTGCCATCTGATGGAGCAGATTAAACCAGCAGCTTGGGGAGTTGGAGTTGAAGAAATTCAGCAAAATGAGTTTATGAAAACACCCAGGTTATGTCAACACACGCTGACCTGAGACTCGGGCCAAAGGACGCTTTGTTGCACAAGCACCAGCAGAACACACTCAGAAGGTGTTGACACAGACTACAGCCGCAGGTTTAACTTCTTCAGGAAAGACAGTTGGTGTTAACAGCTTTGACTTTTTTTAAGTTTACCTGCTGCATACATGCGAGGCAACTGTGCTCAACAGGTGGATCGGGACCTACCAGTATGATCGCCAAGGGAGTGCATGAGCAATTAAAACAAGAATTTAAATTGAATTCTACAGTGTGTAGTAGGGACATGTATTGTAAGACGGGGCGTCGAACTCATCTTCACATCAGCAAATACAAAAGCAACATACTTTAAAGCAACAAAAGGAAAAGTCCAGAGACTCAACTGATCATTTGGTTAATATCGTTCATTACATATGAAAAACTGTTCCACACACAAACATTGTTTCATTTAATTTTAAAGCCATACATCCAGAAATGACCATCAGAGTTTAAAGACATCATATATGTATAAATACATACGTTTATATATATATATATATACATATATGTATATATATATACACACATGTATACATACATATAATATATATATAATAGAACTATATATACACACATACATATACAGTATATGTATGTCATGTCATGTCATATAGAAAGAGCTACAGACGGAATTACAAATATTTACAATAGTTCATGACAAACACCTATTGAGGAGACATGGAGGAGTGTACTGACACCTGGTGGTCACTGTTTCACGGATGACTTCTTTCCACATGGTGCTTCATGGTCCTTCATCCACACACCATCATGCACATTCGCTGCAGGTCACTTTGTTTTTTGTTTTTGTTTTTGTTTTTATCACAGTTTTTTGTTTTTTGTTTTTGTTTTTCCCTCATGTGACATTAATAGCCCAACAACCACACCACCCCCTGCTGCCAGAACGTGACGGTGCAGCCGTGTCATCATCATCACTGCGGCCCCAGTCCTCCCTGGGTGCTCTGACCGTCACAGTGGTCGCTCCCCCACAGGCGGTAAAACTGACTGAAGTCCACATACGGTGGAACCCGGCCAGTCTCGTCGGGCTGCGCCGCCTGACTGCCTCGCTGGCTGAACAAGCGTCCGTCTCCCGAACTCGAGCTGGAACTCTGCGTCTGGGTGTTGGTGGACTGGAGGGTTGCCGTCGGACTCTGACTGCTGGGGGGAGAGAAGGAGGAGGAAGAGGAGAAGAAAGGTGGATAGGAGGGAAGAGGGGGTACGAGGGAGGGAAACGAGGAGGAGGAAGTCGGGTTGACGGAGGACGGGACGGCGTCCGTGATGTCGGTAGACAGGCAGAGGAGAGAGGTGGAGTTGGACAGAGGACGTGGGGGAGGAGGCATGGTGGAGAGGGAGAGAGGGGGGAGAGGGTAAACAGGGAGTTCAATTATGGGCTGCAGGACGTCAACGCAGGTTTGGCAACAAGTGGGCTGAAAGGTGCTAAACGAGCGGGGATGGACATCGGTGAGGAGAGACAACGAGAAGGAGAGATTAGGACGTGAGTCCAACGGCTTCATCTGTGGTCTTCTTCATTATTGCCTTGGTCGTCTCCTCTGTTCTAATGACACTCCTATTGTTCCAGTCACTAAATTCAGAACATTTCATAAAATTTGTCCTAATTAATTTTTTTTTTTTTTTACATTTTTGGTTCTATAGTGTAGCGGTTAGCACGCCTGCCTTGCAAGCAGAGAGTCCTGGGTTTGATTCCCAGAGGAACCACATATAACAGCACATAAATAACAGCAAAACAACTACTGTATATAACTGGTAAAAACTGAATTAAAAAAATTGCTAAAAGTGTTATTATTTAACTCACTGAAGAAATGTTGTGCTCTGCAGTTGTGCTGTTGACGACATTCCTCCCGGTGTCACCGACACAAGGCAATAAACACAAGCATTTGTTTAAGGGCCGTAAACCTTCAGGAAATGTTTACCTTAGATAAAGATGTGACTGTTTGTCACTAACAGGAGAAAAAGGGAAGTGAATTTGGAATTAGGTCACATGTGGTTAATTTACTCCTGACATGCAGTTTAGTCGTGTCATTGTTTTTTTTTTCCATCGCTGCAGTGGCATTGATCAACTGTGACGAGTGCAGACGATGCCCTCTTGTGGCCATGTATGATGTGCGCTATATTTCTTCTGTATAAGCTGCTGTGGAGTATTAGTGGCAGGAGGAGTCAGGACACACACTAACACAGCAGTATTTAAACTGCATGATACTGACATCATTTGCTAAAGGTTTTTTTTTTTTTTTTACAAAATGAAAATAATCCAGAACTCATTGAACTGAAAAATTGGGAAGTGAAACAAAGAAAAGAAAGAAAAGGGGAGACTCAAAACCGAACAAAAGCAAATCTACAAAGGGAGGAACGACGATAATTCTACAACAAACACGACAATTAACCCATTAAGGGCAGGAAGGGAACAGATCAGTCACAGAGTAAACCAAAAGGTGGTACCAAAGTCCAGCCAAGTTAAAGAGGCCTAACCCTCTGCAGGAATGAAAGTAAACATGCAAAGGAGTTCCACTTTTGATTTAACAGTCAAAGGAGAGGAAAAACAAGCAGGGGAGGAGATGGGGGTCAAACTGTACTCACCCCGGAGTGGGGGTGCCTTCCTCTAAGGTGGAGGCTGTGTTGGTTCCATTGGTGAGCGTGCCCTGGGAGGGCATCACCAGTGAGAGGGTGACACTGGTTTTACTGGTGCTCTGGCTGTTGGAGTAAGGCACCGACACAGGGTAGATACGACCGCCTGGAAGAAGAACTCCACTGTGACATTCATATATTTACGTACATATGCAGCCATAAAACAGCAGCTGTAACCAAGGCTGTGTATCCTAGTATTATGAATAGAAAATGTCCAAGCTCAGGACAGGGACCAAAAAGTGTTGAATATGGGTGAAAAACATTTCAACTTTATTTAAAAAAAAAGTTTTCTGGTTGGGAGGCATCTAAGAATATATTCTGTTTCTTGATGAGACATAAAATATGACGAGTGTTCGAGGCGTGAAATAACAGATTTGAATCATAGACTTAGGATATGACGTTTTGTAAAGTCGAGTGTTCGAGGCGTTAAATAACAGATTTGAATCATAGACTTAGATAAATAGGACGTAGGTGGAGTCAGTGTGGAGGTCAGTCGGTGTGCGTCTTGTATACCATATACTGACCGTACCCTGAGTGGGCGTGAGCGCTCCGTCAGCCAACGGGTAGTTGAGTGTACGGATGAGCAGGGTCATGTCTTCGTGTCGAGAACAGTAGGTGGCCCGCTGACGTCCGGACACGTACACGTCGTGGTGCAGCCGCTTGACGCGGTCCACCACTGACTGAGCCACCACCCCCAGACTGCTCTGCTGTGCCAGCTCTGCTGCTACCATGGCAACAATTTCCTGGAGTGACAGCAGAGGAGATGGAGAATCAGAAAAAAAAACAGAGACACTGATATGGTAGTTTAAAGCAAGAAGTGGGCGGTTGAACAGAAAAGGTGACAAGAGAGTAAAAAAACAGATGATAAAAAAAAAAAAAAAAACAGAAACCAAGGCCTTTTTTTTTGCTCATGTGGCTTTTCAACACCTCTCTCTGACTTCCTGTTAGTATTTGTGCCTTTCATGTTCAACATTCTATCACCATTCAACGGTCACTTTGTTGCAGTGCAATTCAATTAGTGGAAAATGTGTCCATATTTTTGCAGTCTTCTAATTTTTACTGTCAAATATTCATTTGTACATCACAGCATTTGTAATTGCTTCTTCAAATGTTCTTGTATGAGCTGCTGTGAAACCCTGGCCCTGAGTCTTCCTGATCCTGATCCTGATTCTCTGATTCTGACTTATTGAAGCAAAAAACATGCTTGGAATTTTGCTTGTTCTGAGGTGATAGCAGCACAAACCAAATGGTCAGAGCAGACGACCAAGTCAAAAATTGCACGTTCTCACTCGTCTTTCTCTGTTCTTTCAGAAAGGAAGGAAGCTGACTTGGGTCCGGAAGGTTTCAGGTCCGAGTCCACTGGCACATTTGATTGTGTGCTGTGTCACAATGACAGGTAGTTCACTTTCACGTTCACTTTCCAAATGTTTCACACATGCAGCTTCCCGATCCACTCAGTAGTTGAAGTCTTCCTTCCAGATGTATTTAACACCAGCCTCGTGACACTGTGTCTTTTCCTCCTGACGTCATCACGTCCTTTGTTTTTGTAAAGTCACAGCTTTGGTGTCGTGCACACATCTATGTAGGTCACGTCACAGGACACATTTAAGGTTCTTTTAAAAGTCTACTGGGGAATAATCTGAGAGTACGAGACAAACTGGGACAGTCGGGCGTCTTTATTTAAAAATACAGGACATGTGAGGACAGTGGACGCAACTGGACAATTGGCTGATTAAAGCAAATTAGGTTTTTTTAAAAAAAGTCTTTTACATACTGTATATATATATATGTATATATATTATAGTTGAATGAATACAGACTCACCTGATTGGCCTGTTCGGGGCCGTGTGCAGACTCCAGGGCGTTGATGAGACCTTCTGACATCAGCAATAAAAAACCAGACACGTTGTCTAAGGACTGGCTTCCATGAATCTCCGGTTCTGCAATGATCGGTTTTCCCTTGGCCGCACTAAAGGTCGTCATAGGAAAATAGTTCAATGGAATAATTACCATTACAAAGAGAATAATAGCAGACAGAACAATTAGTCATTTACACGAAAGACAATATGAACAAAGCCACGCTGTGTAAGATGTTCTTATGGTTAATAACTTAATTTAACTAATGAGTCGAAATGGCTCCGAATAATTGCCACGTTGATGACACCAATTTTCTGCACACTACTGATTGGCTCCGAGAAGGAAAAGTCAATATCATTTCTTCGACTGAGCTGTGATCACGTGAGAAGATCAGTTTGTTTTTTAAACAACAGACAAAAACAGGAAGTTGAACATTAAAGTGAGGCGAACAGCAGGAAGTTGTGAAAAAAAAAAAAAAAAGTTAAGTTTGGTGCCACGCAGTATTTACAGTATATCTTTGTGAACTTTGACCTCACCTCAGCAGGTCGATTTCATTGTAGTGGATCTTGACCCTGTAGTCGCCGAGCCTCCTGGTGCTGTTCTGCCCCGCGATCTGCCCCGCCTGCCTCACACGAGCGGGATCCACCCCTGAAGAGAGGAAAAGAGGAGAGAAGAGGAAACGACGGTGGATGAGTTACAGCGAGGTGGAGGAAGGAGCAGCAGATTTTGTGAGGGATAAAAAAAAAAAGAAAAAGAGTAAAAACGCAGCAGGACAAGAGGAGTAAATTAAAGCTGAGGTAGGAGGAGGGGGGGGGCAGTTGGGAGGAAGGGGTGGATGCATATGTCTGCAGGTGGATGGAAATATGGGGGGACAGGTCACCTTCAGCTGCGTTTAATGGAATGACTGCCATTTCATTTAAATCATTCGGAGTGGGGACGGGAAAAAAGAAAAAAAAAAGAAAAACCAGAGCAATTATGATTGTTCCAGCTGGCAGAGATGGAAAGAGAGCAGGCGGGGAACAAAGGGAGATGGAGCTCTGCCTCTTCATCTAACGGAGCAGCATGAGCTGCTGGAAATCAATGCAGCCAATTTCCCCTTTATATTTATTGCAGGTGCCAGACCGCAAGTGATGCGTCTGCTGCACAGCCACACGAGTGTATGTATATCCTCTGCTGTGCACAAGTCTCAATGGGAAAACATTAGCTTGGCCGCCCGCCCTGGACCAACGACCCGGAGTTGGTCTCCGGTCCAAACGATCTTCGTTAATGTCCGCTTCCCTGTTGTTGACTGACTTATCCTGCAGATAACTGAAAGAATTCTATATGAAAGGATTCTGATTCAGACTGTACCTGTGGGTACATTTGGATTTATTTGACATTATTGATCAGTGAATGTTGTCTAAGGGGTTGTTGGTTTAAGTCGCTCAGCTACGACACTCGTACTCACTCACCCAGGGCAGCCAGTCTCTGCAGCTCGTCTTCGTTGTCGGTACTGTGCGGTCGTCCAATCTGCAGGACCTGGTTCTGTCCATCGCTGCTGGACTTACACAGCAGTACTCTGTTCGTACCTGGAATCACAAAAGACAAAATGTGTTTATACAAAGAAGAAGAGAAGAAAAAACACAAAGGATTGAGCAGAAGTACTTCACGAGCTACAAACACAGCTCACCAACATGTGTTACATATTTTATCTCTAATTATTTTAATGACCTCATTCATTCATTCTTTGTGGGGTCCATGCTCTGCCGAGTACGAACTCTAGGGCTCACCACAGGCCTCGACCCCTATTTTTGTTGTGAGTCGCATCAGAAAAACTAAACAAAAATAATTCTCTGTCGGCTATACATACTCAAGAGTGAAACAAATATCCTCAGGTATGCTTAAATAACCAGATCCAAGGACAGGAACAACATGAAGGGATCACAAGATTAAAGCTGCGCTTTATGGAAGATTTAAAAATGGCCACAGCTCCTCTGGGGGGGGGGGGGGTTTCCCCGGTATCCCCGTGTGATGGCCTTCCATGGATCCTGGAGGTGAGGATTGTGTGTTAAAATATTAATGACAGCTGCCTTGTCTCCAATCCAGACAAGGCAAGGTGTCCAATCATGGACACCACTGCTCCTTTTTGTCTTTCACAGGGGCAAAAAAATCAAACACTAATGTCGTTGTTTGTTTTGAATTCCAGTCCCAACATCTGTCCTCAAGCCTTGAACACAGACTCTGTGGGAAAAAAATGTTTCCCTCCTAATAAAGTTGCAAGTAATTTAAAACAAGTGTGTTCTGGCGGGGCATGTGATTTTGCCCCGAGATTAGTCCAAGGAGTCGTAGTGAACCTTGGCAAATGAGCACTGGTGGTGAGCAGATCCAGCGACAAAATCTAGATTTAAGTGACGTGATTGTTTTAGCCAGATTAGTTTCAAATGTCTAGAAGAACACTGGCCGTGGAGCACAGAATATTCACTTTAATAATCCTGTCTAGACCTTCAAATCGTTGGTCTCTGTGGGCAACTTAATACTTTCTGTACCATGAGTGATTCAGGAAATGTCAGTTCAAGCACTTTTTTTTTTTAGTGTGAACATAATATTTCCTCTATGAGCTAGCCTGTGGCTGTGAAATCATTTGGACTGACTGTGTTTCTGCTGTTAGCATTAAAGACTTCTTATAAAGTAGGTATAAAAAACTTTTCATCATGTTAATAATGACTCAAAATTTTTTTTAAAAAAGTGGAGAGTTTCATCATGTTAATAAACTTTTAAAAAGTGGAGAGTTTCATCATGTTAATAATGACTCAAAATACATAATATACAAGGTAAAGATTTTCATCTTGGACTATTTGGACTTTGATGTAATAACTTCACTCACTTTCAAAGTAGCACATTTAGAAAAAAACTGAGCAGAAAATGTTAGGCTGTGTGTAAAAGAATGAGGGAAATCTACGAGGGGATTTTTCCTGCACTACCACTCCCTGAATTTACCAGACCAAAAAACTTGAGATCTTGCAAAGAAAAATTCCTAACATTTTTTCTTTGTTTCCTTCAACATTTTAACATAAAATGCAGGGCGTGAGGCTTTGTTCTCCAATGACCTCACTCAACGACCCTGTGTACACACCCTCAGGAAATAGCCTTCAGCTACACTACAACTACCACTGGCTACTACCACCAGACCATTGTTCTGCAGCTAACTGTGGCTTTGTTTTCACACGACCTTGTGAAATCAAAGAAGTCATTAAATTTCAATCACGAGCTGTGGGGAAAAAACTGTGATGGAACATCCTAAAAACCACAAATACAACTGGACAGACGGAGTCATGTGTTGTTACCACACTACTAAACTATTATGATCAAAGTGTGGAGCGGCGTCAATGAATTGAACTACAATAACGTTGAACGTGACATCTGTTTTGTAAACTTCAGGTGTGAATAAGGAGATTAAAAAGTATTATTTTGGGTATAATAAATTCCAAAACCAATGACTTCCTGTTCAACAGCAGTCTCTGTTTTACTTTTGTAAAAAAAAAAAAGTTGAACTGTATACCAAACAAAACAACCCCCCTCATTCTTCCTTCTTCTTTAATTTTCTCGACCGTTTACAATTCTCCATTTACAACACAAACACCTTGTGAGAAAGCTTTTCAAAGACTGCCCTCTACTGGCGTAACGCTGACACTGACGTTTTAAAAAACTCTCAGTACTATCTGAATACAGTACAATACTAGTGTAGTAGAGTTAAAGAGTCGGTGTCCATACCAACATTGGCGATGTAGAGCTTGTTGTTAAGGATCAGTGCCACTGCAGCGGTCGCTCCTCCCGACACCTCCTGCTCCAGCTCCTTCAGTCGCTCCTGGACCTTCTGGTTCTGAGGAGAGAGCTGGTGGAATGACACATTCTGTGCAGCCAGGATTTGAGGAGACAAGGGAATTCAACAACGGGGAGAAGACAGGGAAGTAGTGTGTAAGTCAGGTAAATGTACGTGTTAGATAAAAGGGGAGAAGGGAATTAAAACAAAACAATGAAAAGCAGAAGACATAAATAAGCAGGAGGTGAGATGAAATTAAAGAAGTGGTTAATGAGATAATAGGTATTAATGACAAGGATGAACAAATCCAAGTGTGAGAAAAGAGGAAAACATTTTATTACCAAAGTAAAAACTACTGAAAAATGATGGTGGAAGAAAAGACAGAGACACTGGTTCCCAGAGGTTTTGACTTGGATGTAGGAAAAGATATTGACTTATAGTGTCATGAATCAGGAGCACACAAATGCACTAAACAGGCAACCTTCAACATGATCAGTTTGATCGACTTCTTTTTGTCCAGATCAAAAAATAGTTCTGTACACGAGTGCTTCAGAGGGCAAAAAATCACCCTGAAAAACTGTAACTTTTTGGTGCAAATCCAAAAGTATAAGCACAGCTAAAAGGACAGCAGTGATATTTTTCCTGTTTTTTTTATTGAAAAAAAAATCCTGTGTTTGCATTTGTTCCTTGTTCCTCCACTGATCTGCATGACTGCACACTCTCGGACTTAAACATTGTCATGTTGCCACAAGAAAAGACAAAATCTTTTCAAAAATATTAAAATTTAGATACAAAGTTTTTTTTATTGAAAAAAAATCCTGTGTTTGCATTTGTTCAAACTTGAGGTTAAATTAAATGTTTATTATGCACTGAATGGTCATGCATGTATCTGTACCTCACTGTGTGGCACGACATATGTGGACATATGAGCCTTCTCAGCCAGAGCATCATCTATAGTGTCAAAGTAGCTCTTCTCTACCACATCAAAGGCCTGGAACAACAACAACAACAAGAAGAAGACATACTCATTTGCATGATGGTCATAAACAACAACAACAACAAGACATACTCATTTGCATGATGGTCATTTCATCTGTGAAAGCACTCTTTGGAGACGGGATCATTTGTGACAGATGAGCTTTTAGTAATATCAACAGAGGCAGCATTAGAAGCTACTGCGCCATAAATATCTCCACTGCAGTAAACAACCATTGGCCCTGATCAGATTAACTTGTCAGTCTAATGCAGTTCTGCGCTGCAAACCGAGTTAAGCTCTGGAAAATGTGGACAATTTTTCAGTGTTTTCTTTTTTGTAGGGATCTTCAGTCTGATGAACTAAAAACTACAGCAAAAAATACATATTTGACACAATTTTATTCAATATACTAAGGTGATAAAGTACATCTAGGAAGTGGGTAAATACAGTATTTGCTGAAACTTGCAGAGGCATGAACTTTTAAAATACCCCAGTCAGAACACGTTTGTGCGATGAGTAAAAAGTATGAATATATTAGGAGCTAATTCTGTTAGAAACATACATACAAACATATCAATATATTCTGTGTATTCTTTGAAATTGCACTGTACTGCACAACAGCAACATGAAACAATAACAACTCTCTAACTCAACCAAGTGAAGGCGCTCTACCTGAGTGAGGATCCTGCGGACGTCACTGTCCGTGTGACTGGATTTGAGTGGTTCCAGCAGCAGTTCTGCCGTCAGACACTGGGAGGCGAAACTGGCCACTCTGCTGCCATCGTAACCATTGAACACACCATAGAGGAAACAACCGTCCTCCGTTCTGATGGAGAGGAAAATATTATAAACGTCAGGCTTTTTTGTGGACTAACATAAAATACAGTTGGCATGTACGCCCTCTGTGTTGCTCAGTTGATGAGAACAGTTCCTGTTTTGGAACACTGCACACTGGAGCCTGTAAATTACTGCCGTCACATGATGACAGACTGATATTTAGTGGAAAAAAAAGACATGGCTGCTTCTGCCTGAGCTGTACCTGCCACAACAGGAACAAATATGTAAGTCATTAAACACGGGGAGTTATAAAACAGCTACATGTTTCAAGTCAAAACCTATAAAAGGTAGAGGAAAAAAAAAGGAATTAAAGCACAGGATCACACAAAAATAAAACATGGGAATTCACAGACAATTTTCTGTCTTAAATTATACATTGTCAGAACATGTTATATTTAACTTAAAGTGACTTGTCTTAATAATACTGATACAAATAACAAACACGTTGTTCTCTGGTCTTATTTAAAGCTCACCTAAACCTGAGGTGAGCGTCCTCATTGGGGTGACTCTGGGTTCCTTTACCGTCAGATCCATACACACAGTTGGGGGCTTTGCCGACCCCACACAGCTGACAGAGCGGCAGGTCATCTGTCCAGCTCTGGTGCTGCATACAAGAGGAGAAATCTGATCATTTGAAGCACTATAAATAAATCAAACCGAATTCAAATTTCATTGTTTTGTTTCCCATGACAATTTGATCATAATTTACAATTGGGACCTAGGAAACTAAACTAGCTATTATTAAGTATTATTAATCATAATCGACTTTTGCCTGGTGGTCGATTTCGGTGTTGCGTCTATAAAACACAAGAATACAACATAAACTTAGCTATACACGTTTATAACACGCAGCTAACACAAGCGTGGCACAAAGAACAAAAATTGACGAATGTTGAAAAATATTGATAAAAACTTTAAATAAATGCCTTGACTATAATCGACTACATATGCCACTTTCAATATGTTACAGTCAAAGTGATCTGTCAACTGTTAGCAAGCCCTTTCGAATTAGCTAGCAAAGCATCCCCCAAAGACACTGAACATTAATAAAAGAAGACCAAACAAGTAAAAACCAACACTGGGGAGCTACATGAAGTCAAGACGCATATTAATTTATACTTTATACGCTGTTTTAATGTAACTGAAACGTATAACTGTGTAATTTCCACTTACACTCTGCATTAAATTCCTCCGCTGCGCCGCCATGTTGGATTGCTGTGGTTAGATTCACGGACTCTTCGTAAAATTACATTTTCTACCTTACTCTGCTGCAATGCGTCAAGATACGCGCTTTATTTTGTTTTTTGTTTGTTTGTTTGTTTGTTTTTGTTAACCAAAACTCTATTTATTAGTTTTAAATCTACTGAGTAGATGTGTATAAATCCAGACATCTAATAATTTAGACGCACAAAGATGTACGAGTCTATACAAGTATCCGACAGAACCTGAAGGCATCGCCATGCTTATTTTTTCCTGACTCCGTATGGTAACATTTTTCATCGTTAAATGTTATATTATGCATACATTTTATATTTTATGCTAAATAAGTATAAAATAGTATTATTCCAAATTACAAAAAAATAAAAAGAACATATAACACATGCTGTTTCACCTTGATTTCATCACAATGCCGCCATCACATGGTTTTACTGTGAACTACAACAACAAACTTCCATGTTTGTGCTATAGAAAGATGCAAAAGTATGTTTAATTATATATCTATGTATATATTTTTTATTTGTCACACTTTAGGCTTTGAGAAAAAGACAGGGAATAACACAATACATTTTTTATTATTAGTTTAATGTTTAAAATCAAACACATCAAAACAAACACTTTTACACAATCTTTTTTTTCTTAACAGTTACCATGACTCTTTTAAAACCATTTATTTGACAGAGTACACACTTCTAAGCCTACATGTTTGTACAGTATAAAGTATATATTCGCATTTATACTCCAATAATTTGGTCACATTTTTTTTTGTTGGTGTGTTTTTAAGTAGCAGATATTATTATTCCAAAATAAAAACATCCCCTGATTCTGAAATCAACAAACAGACTGAGGTACAGATGTCCTCATCATAAATGTTATCACAACGACACATTACAAACAGGAGAATTTCTGTCTTTTGCCTTTTTTTCTTTTTCTTTTTACAGAACAAGCATAAAGCCCTAAAATAAACCGTAATCTTCTGTTAAACACTACTATATACTGAATTACAGATTTACAGATATTTGTAGCATAATATGTATACTCTATCTTTCAGGAAAATGGAGCAAAGCATTTTCATACAATACTTGTACGTAGTGTTCACGGTTGCCTCATGTGATGATTTGCTGCGGTGAAATGAAAAAAAAAAAAAAAAGACCAAATGAAAATTCACCAGCGTAGTGCGTCGCCTCTTCCCATTTTCGACTGTTTATTCTGGAATGTTCTTCAATGTTGTCATATGCTTGGATATCACGTGTACTACAAGGACCTTAAAGAATAATAATCAAGCCCAGAGTTGTCATATGAGAACTCAGATCCTGTGCATTGAGTTTATAATTCGTCCTGTGTTGTTGTTTTCTCTTGGCAGTCGGCACTAAGGCAACAATTGAGAAATAAAAAAAAGAGCGTGTTCTTTGGGAAAACAGGAAAACACAGACATCCACACATCAATTAAAACAACAGTAAGAGAGGACACTTGGCAGAAAACCTGCCATCTATCTGTTTGCAATCAATACGCTGCAGACCAGTGCTCGCACACGGGTTCTTCTGAGGGTTTCATTTAACAGAGACCATGTAACTGACTTCCTGTGGACCTCGGACGATGAAGGTGTTTCGGTCACGAGCATCGATCTGCTACAGTGTGACTGTCCCGGAAGACACATGGCTGTGTTTGTTTTCTTTCCTTATTAAACCCAAGGTCACCGCCATCTCATAATCTCCGCCCGGTTACACACTTTCTCTGACATGAACACAAGACGAACCTGATTTTTTTTTTCTTCCTCCATCTTTTTGCCAAAAAAAACCTGAAAACGTTGCCCAGCATTTTGTCATTTCGTTTGGTGTTGAGGTCTGATAACAAAACAAATTGACTTGAAAAGTAAACAAATAACTACACATTTCTTTGAGTGAAGTAAACAATACTGCTTTTCATATTAAATATCTGTAACAGTGGGTCAGAATTACTGATCAGTGCTGAGTTTATAGAGAAATGCAGAATAATAAAAAAAAGAATATTCTCTAACTGAGAAATATCGGGCAACATCATTGACAACTTTCCCCTGGTACTGCATAAACACCTAACCCTGGTACAGTTTAATAGTCCTGCCGCTGGTAGCCTCCTGTGCCGTCAAAGGCAGCGTCACTGTTGGCCTGGCCTCCTCCGCCTCCTGGACTCTCCAGGTCGTCCCCACCGAAGGAGGTGTAGGGAGCACTGGCTGCATCCTGGCTGGGGTCCAAGTACTCCTGGGAGAAAAGGGCGGAGTCGGCCCCCAGCTTGTACTTCTGGAAGGCCAGGAACGACTGCCCCGCCTTGGATTGGTGTTAGAAATGGTAGAGAGATAGAAAAAGCCAAAGATAGTGATGAAAAGATTCAGGGAGTGAAGACAGTGAAGCAGGGATGCAGAGGTGTTAGAGCAGGGAGGGGGGAGGGATGGGGTGGAGAAAAAAAAAAAACAAGAGACAAAAAGACTCGGTTAGTTGGTTGAAAAGCTTGAAACATATTACGTAGACAGAATAAGTTTCTTATTTAGTCAGGGAAGTAGAAGGCAGTGTGGAGCAGGGCGTTTGTTTTTCGCCAGAAAAGTTCAGTTCTATGTAATTATGTATCTTTACGGTTTGACTCCTGGGAGAAACCACTGAGGAACAGATGTCCCTGCGTCGTACACACTACACTGTATGAGTCCACGAAACTAGACCAATGAAGGAAGACGTGACGGACCAAACCACCGAGATAATTTCAGTCTTTAATGAAATCAGAGGCGATTTTACTCATACTTTTGTTGCTGTAAAAACACTTTTCATCGACACTGAAATCTCCACCTGGTTTTGTTTCCTTCCAGTGATAACATTAGAGTAATGACCCCTGGTGTTCAATAATTAAAACAATTATTTATAACCAAAGAGTGTGCACAGTTTCGAGTCATCGAATTAACTTCAGTTTGAACAAGCTAATATTTTATTTAACAGTTGAATAAAAGATTTAACTCCATTAAAAAGTCATCCTGTGGACTTTTGGAGTTGACATCATTTGAAGAGTTTAAATAACATGTTTTTTTTGTTAAGAATTAAAAATATGCAAATCCAGCTGATGTTCATACGTTTGATAAAACTAAAAAAATCTTTCTATCTCTGATGTCTAACACGCAGACGTCTGTTCTCTGAGCTCCTCTGTAACCGTGACCCCACGTTTTATGTTTTCCGTAAACAAATAAAAAAAAAACACCTCTAAAGATTCACAGCAACGACGTCACACAGAGGCAACGTCTTCTGATTTAACAAGAAATTTCGTGAGGTCACCTTGAATCCAAATGGCATCTTAAATTTCATGACTATAAACCAAGTTTAAATAAAATAAGAGCGTATAAGAATATCTGAGCCGCTGCATCATGATTGACAGCTGAGATCACGTGACAGCTACCTGAGTTCCCGTGCTTTAAATACTAACGATTAGAAAGTAAAAATAGGAATTTATTTTTCAGAGTTATAGTTAAGTTATACTTATTGACCGACTGCTGAGTTACAGATGCACTTCCGTCCAGCAGTATTTGACGAACGTGCATTTGTTATTTAGGAGCCTTTGAACAGTGAAGAAGTGTCTGAGAGCAGCGTCAGAGGGTTAGAGCGACAGAAGGAGAGAGAAGAGAGGGCAAAGTCAGACTAAAGCCTGCGGGGGCAGCGGTGGGAACAGCTTGATGTATTCCTCCTCAAACGACACATTCTTTAACTTCTCCAAAGAGAAGAGAGTCTGGACGCCCTGTTGGAACAACAGCCACAAACACTTAACACAAGTCAAAACCATCACACACACACAGACTGCAGAGTGAACAAAAAAAGAAATCACAATCTTAGTTCGTCATCGGCCTTAATTGAGCGCCCACTCACAGAACGACACCGATGATTTGTTCGGCCTTAATGAGCGCCCACTCACAGAACGACACCGAGCTAAACGACAATGTCAACACTGACGAGAGGAGAGACTCCTACCCAGGTGAAGATGGAGAAGAAGGAGAAGGTGATGGCTGCCCGAGCAGCGTCGGCCCCCTCCATCAGTGGGTTGTCCTCCAGGTTCGACACCTGCCACTGGTTGGCCAACAGGCAGAAACCCACGAACCACATGAATGACCAGAAAGCTGGAGACGGAAATATCAGTAGTTGAAATAAAGACAACACCGTCAGTGGACGAAAGATGACGATTGAAATTTGACCAAGGCTAAATTAACATTACAAGTACAACGCAACATGAACCACTTTAACTGATATGATATTAGGCCAAATAAATAATATGATAAAGTCCCAAGACTACTTGGAGGAGTTAAAAAAAAAACAGAAGAAAACAGAGATGGTTCGATTACCCGACACCCCTACGTCGGCCAGCACGGCCTTCTTGCGGTCTTTGACGCTGCTGATCTGAGGGAAGTAAACGTCCAGAGCCAGGAAGGCCATGCAGCACAGGAACGCCATGGAGCCCATGAAGACGCCATAGTTGCAGGCGTTCTGGTTGCGGTTGAAGATGCAGAAGACCTCGACCTCGCTGGGTTTATTGATGTAGCCCTCGTTGGCGATGCAGCCAAAAATCACAATAGAGAAGAGCTGAAGAGACAGAAAAAAAATATTATTAATAAGGAATGAAAAATAAAATATGCTGAAGAACATCAGTCCAAATTTAGCTTAGCACAGCCTGGTGGACGTATCATGTAATTATTTAAATCACAGACGGTGGATTGGTGGTTATGGATCGAACTTGGATCTGGAAGGTTTCGGGTTCGAATCCACCAACTGCTTAAGTTAACACTGAGCATGGCACTGTGCCCACACACACTGCCCCCTGCTGACTGTGGTCATGGGTTAAAAGCAGAGGTTACACAAGAAGTTCACTTAAAACACACAGTGGCTACACTGGCGTCATTTGAGTCCAAAAAATATAATCTGAATAATTTTAATTAACACATTATTTTGATAATTGTTTCGCAGTGAGACGGTCACACTGAATGAGATCTGTTTCTCAATCACTGGCCTCTACATTCTGCTGTTGTTTCCCCTCCTCTCTCTGTCTTTTGTCTCCTTTTTCTCTGTCGACTCGTAACTAAAGAAGTGGAGAAACAAAGAGCTACAAAATGGAATCGATAACAGGAGCGGTTTAAATGACACCAACAAATCCTCCTCCTCCTCTCTCCTCCTCCTCCTCTCTCCTTCACTCCCAGTGTTTGGTCCACCTGGCAGTCAAGTGTTTCTTCTGACGACAGACCGCACACAGACAGCTCTGTTCTACTGACAGTCCCTCAGACCACACGGTCTGGACGCTCACCGTGTCTGTGTTTGTTTGCAGCGTCTGTGTCGATGTCGTGGCGGCAATGATGGAAGATGAATGTTTGTGTGTGTGTGTGTGTGTGTGTTCGAAAGCTATTAGAGAGCCTTGGGTTGACGGATGGTTTATGCAGCTGCCGTCTCTATTTGTGTGACAAATGACAGAAGACCGAAGGAGAACACACAGCACAGGGGACCGTACTTTCACCGACGGCACCGACAACAAACAGCCTGAGGTGGAGATGGATGTGACAGTCACACGGGATGGTGATAAAAGTCCAGCATGGTTCCCTTTTCCCTTTGTTAAAAACTTTTTTTTTCAACCTGCATAAATTCAAACTGTCCCTGAGACGTCACCTCTGCTGTAAACTGACTCCATCAGTCTGAGACATCGTTCCACTGGAACACAACCAGAAATCACATCAAAGTGTGCGTTTCTGTTAAAAACGTTTTTCATTGATTTCCTCTGATGGGCACATACCGCCACCTACTGTACCGGAGTGTGTAGTGTCATGGTATGACCAGTGAATTTTTAAGCTAACTCCGCCTACTCCCCCTGATGTGTGATCCATTTTAATTCAACTGATGTGAATGAGCTCTGATGATTTCTATCCATTTTTAACCGATTCGTCTTTACGTCCCTAACCTTCAACCTTCCTCACTAACCTTCTCAGCTCTCGTTACGCTTTTAGGGGAGGGGCCAGTAACATCTCCATCACCCACCTGCATCCTGTTTTATTAAGAATGGAGATGATGATGATGATGATGATGATGATGATGATGATATAGAAGGGGTGATCAGAGCTAAGTGTTGGGGGCAGAAAGGGTACGGAGGCGGTGCTATTTTTAACCAGCCTGCATCATGGCCTGCCTGGTGACTCCCTCCCTCCCTCCCTCCCTCTCTCCCTCTCTCCCTCTCTGCCTCCCTCTCTCTCTGCCTCCCTCCACACACACTTTTCTCCAATCTCCCCTCATTACTGGCCCTGCCTCTGCCCACGAGTGTTCTTGAGAAAAATGAGTGTGCTCGCCACTGACACACACACACACACACACACACACACACACAAGTGCCTGGCTTACATCAGGATTCAGGTCAAAGAATACACACATACATGGACCACTATTATCCCACCCACAATCACATGATGTGGGTGGGATGATCGCACCCTCCGTTAACTCACAGCGGTTAAAAAAAGCTTTACTCAACACATAAAAACAGTGACGTGAAAAAGAGAAAATTGTCCTTGGGCTAATTCTCTGTAGAAGAAACACCACATTCATCTCCGTTCATCAGCCTCTTCCTTACAGTCCAGTTAGATGGGACTCACACTCCTGAGGCGTTTGTGCTCTGGTACCGTTTCAGTGAGGAGTTTCAGAAACACATTCCTACAAACACTGGATTTCCTGGTTGGTTTGTGTGGCCGACACTTCCATCACAGAGTTAGGAAATATAATCAACTGTTAGTGGCTCTTTGGCCCAGAGGCAACGTCTCTGTCATTGGTGTGGAACCCCAGGGTTCACCTCCTGGGCAGGTTCGAATCCCGGT